GGGTATACCCGGGTCTATTCAGCTAGGTATAATACAAGCCCCACTACAGTGCCTTAGCCAAAATAGTTACTCTATTTCCTGTGAAGCTGGGAGTCTAGAAGTAAGCAGTCCAGGATTGGTGCATTGGCTTAACTGTCTCAACCTAGAAGTGGCACATGTCACTGCGGCTCCTAGTCTATTGGCCAGAGCTGGTCACACAGCCCCAACCTAACTGCGAGGGAGGCTAGGAAACATATTTTTTGTTTCTTTGTTTCCCCATTCCATCTTCTTTACTCTCAGAGTCCACTTTCTACCATAGAGGCCAAAAAAAAAAAAAAAGCCACATACTGTCCTTCCTCCTCTCCTTCCCTTGTGTCTGTGGCAGGTAATGTGTCCCGATCTTGACCAGGGGACTAAGGAGAAGTCTATTGAAGGCCTTCTAAGAAATGCTTTCTCCACAATAAAAATAGACAACAAGAGAAAATGCTCCTTTTTAATCCAATATTGTCATGTCCACATGTGTTGCTCAAAATGTGGCAGCCATCTTGTGACCATGTGAGGACACGTGAAGAAATTAACATTAGAAGGCAGCAAGAGCCCAAGTCCTTGATGACATAACCAAGTTGCTAAGCCAGCCCTGCCCTTCCTCTGGACGTCTTGTCAGGGGCAGTAATAAATGTCATTGCTTCAACCACTTTTCATCACATGTTCTGTTGTTTGTAGGGAAACAAATAATGCATTTATTTCCTGCTTAAGCCAACTTGGCTTAGATTTTCTAGTACCAAAAAAAAAAAATCTCAGCTTGAGCAGCCAGATGGATCCAGAAAGTAGGAACTATACCCACGATAAAAGAGACTGATTAGCATGGAATAATCATCGGGAACAAAGAGCGTTGCAGATGATGAAGTCGAGAACAGAGTGGTGAAAGGAGCTGACGGCGTAGGCTCTTTTCCCAGGAGCTGGTGCCTCTGGATTACCCTCTTAATTAAAATGACATGACAGTGAGGCACTACAAAGCGAGGAGTAACCCAAAGGGGAGGTATCTGGTAACCAGGACTTAATGAACCATCAGAGAGGAGCGACACAAGAGAAGAGTTTGAGATAGGGCAGAGTTGGCGAGAATGGGTCCCCTGGTGTCACAGAGTCTCTGCCAGGCTGCAGCTGGTTACCAGCTCTCTTGGGAAAACACGTCAATTTTCAGGTGAGGAACAAATAAAGTTTATAATAGTTCTGGCAACACCGCCTCTAGGGAAAACAGCCAACTACACGTGGGATCCTTCTGGTCAGATCGGACTGGGGGCTAGGAATTCTGGATTTGTGGGCCGTGTTTGTCCAGCCAGGTCTGAGTTAGAGCATTGGCAATGCGTTTATTGTGGCCAGCATCATAAACATGTCCCTTGGTGTAATTTGATTTTCAATATGTCTCTTGGGGAGATCTCAGTGCCCTTAATCTGTCAGGCTCCTAGGAGAAATCAGAAGTTAGCAAAAACTTCCAACACCTTATTTATCTGGTAGTTCCTGTTGTGCTATAGTGGTTACATGCATCTGTGATGAAAATCTGCCTCTTTTCTGGGTCCTTCATTTGGTAATAAACGATTATNACCTTCACCCAAAGGGCTTGACTCCTTGACGCCTTTAAGGAGCGCTCTTAACAGAACGGTTCTCAAACTCTGCAAGCCACACAAGCCCCTGAAGAGCCACACAACAGATGGGCGGGCCACCCCCGGTTTCAGATTGCATTTGCATTTCTGACAGTTCCCGGGTGCCGCTGCCGCTGCCGCTGCCGCTGCTGGGCGGGCGACCACTCCCGGGAACCACCGACAGCAAGACAGGAGCCTGGGCTCCACGTCCCACCGCTCCCCTTCCTGGCCGTCCGGGCTCAGGCGAGTCACCGACCGCGCCTGGCCTCCAGCTGTGCCGTCCCGCCCAGCGGGGACCTGCGCGCCCCCGCAAAGGTCGTGCACCCCGATCGCCACCACGGATGTGGGAGCACTCAGGGCACCAACCGAGGCGCGGCCGAGCCCCGGGCGCCGCTGAGCAGCCGGCCGGGCCGCGCGGGGCCTGCGTCCGCCACCTGCCCCACCCGCCCCGCGCCCCGCCTTACGTTGGACCGAATTGATGAGCGCCCGGTATTGATGGCGGATCTGGCGGCACAGGCCGTGGTCGGGTTCCTCCTCCAAGCTCGCCGGGTCCAACATCTCGTCCCCGGAATCCGACGGCTCTTCCTCCAACAAGCTCGGGCGCTCCGCGGCCTCCCTGCGCTCGGGCGCGGCGCCGCGGCGGGACACCGGCGACAGCGGGGACCGCGAGCGCGAGCGGGTGCGATCCTGGTGCGGGTCCCGGCCCCGGCCCCGGCCCCGGCCCCGGCCCCGGCCCTCGGGCCGGCGGCCGCTGCTGTCTCCGGACATCGCTCCGATTCCCGGCGTAACTTCGGAACGGCGGAAGTTCGCGCCAGAAACTGAAACCCCCGATCGGCGCGAGCGCCCGCTGCTCACGGAACACGACTCCGGGCCGGCGCGAGCGCACAGCGACGCCTGTGGCCGGAGGCCGGCGGCGGGGCCAGGCGCGGGCGCAGCGGCTAGAGCGCCTCCCCGCGGCGCCAGAGGCGCCCCGAGTCCCCGACCAGAGCCTTCCGCTCCCTTGACTTCCGATGTACTAAGATCCCACTTACACTGTCACGTGGTTAGAATCTTGGTTGTGTTCACCGTGCCCACCCCGCGGGACCTTAATCTCCCCCAGGGTCTCTGGCGCCCCGGCACACAGCCACAGGCTGGCAACGTCCTGGGCACACAACACATATTAAATTATTAACCATCCCTTCTAACTGAGCCATGACAGTCTATGTTTATAATTGGTTCTTAAGCTAAAAGATTTAAAATACCTTCGAAGGGATCCAAGAAAGGGTCCCCACGTTCTCTTTGGTGCTGAGAACACATTTTCTCAAAGGAACAATATTTTAAGCTGAGTTACTACCCTGCCTACAAAAATGCCATCATGTATACTATTCACTGCTGCCCAGCAGTGGATACCTCGCCCTACTCCTACTTACCTGGATTTCAGGAAAATTGTGCTCTGGTGTCTGCTTCCTTAGATGATGTGTGATTGGCCCAAATGAGTCGTGGTAATCTCATCCCCCTTCCCCAGTGACTAGGCTAGGGATGGACATGTGAACCAGTTCTGGTCAGTGAAGTGGGATGGGGCTTCCTATCTGGATGAAACGCAAGCTTCCAGAAAAGAATGTCTCTGTCCCCACCCCCACTCCTTCTCTGAGATGCTATCATGAAGACACAGTACATGGCGAGATGCAGCCATCTGGTACTGATGAGTACTGATGAGGTGATAAGTGTGAGGAAAGACCAGAATGCCNTGGACGTTCCGTATAAATGAAATCATGCAATATGTTGTCTTTTGTGTCTGGCGTCTTACATTTCGCATAATGTTTTCAAGGTTCTTCCATGTTGTAGCGCGTGTCGGTACTTCCTTCCTTTCAATGGCTCAATAACATTCCATCCTGTGGCTAGACCATATTTTGTTTATCCATTTATCAGTTGATGCACATTTGGGTTCCACTTTTTGCTACCATGAATGATACCTTGGCATTTTTCAGGAGAGCGAAGGGGCCCCAAGCCCTGCATCACAATCACTTGTTCATCCCAGAGGAGTTCCCGCTAAGTAACCTGCAAGGCTTGCGTTTGGCAGAGTTGAGAGCTGCGGTGGGGAAGGCCCCATCCTGAGTCTGGACTGGGAAGAGAAGGGTGCTGGTGTCTGGGACGCAGCTGCACCTGCCCAGTGAAGCCATCAGCCTTTAAGGGTACATGTTTTCCCAATCCTGATTCTTGATTTCTCACCCTGTTTAGTTTTAATGCAATTTGGCCAGGTGGTCTGACAGCATTACTGTAACCGTTAAAAAAAAAACACAAAAAAAACTATTTATTTTGAAATAATTGTAAACGTATAGCAGGTGCAAGAAGAACACAAACAGCTCCCATACCCCCAATTGTTAATGTTTCGTTTGTGCCCCGCTCCTCCTCGTGATGCTCATCACGATTTGGGATCAAGTTGCAGACATGACGCCCATCTTTCCTCAGTGTGTTCCATCCCCGCCCCCCACCCGAG